AAAATTGTAAATTATGTTTTAATAACCCTTAAATGAGTAGACATATTACAAGCAAGCGAAAACGAAAGAAAAACAGAATTAAATTAGTAATTAAACAAAATATCATTGTGTTGCTTTAAATTTAATGAACGGTTAAATGAATTGTGTTTTTAATTATCTACAACAATTTTTGAAATAAGATACATAAAAAAAATTAAAACGAAACATAACAAAAAAAAAATGTTAAATTGTTAATTGTATTCAAAGTGACAAAACACTAAGCAATTTAAAATTATTAAACACAAATACAAAGATTCCAACAGCATATTTTCAATTAAACAGAAATAATAGCAAACAATCAATTAAAGCGTAACATAGTAAATCATTTATATAAAAAGCAAGTCGATACACTGAACAAATTTAGTATGCACATATTTTAATTGTAAACAAAATGAAATGTAGAGTCAGCATATGAATGGATAAATGAAAAAAAATGGTTTTAAATCTAAAAGGAATTTTCCAAAAAAGTTTTCCAAAACTTCAAATTAAATTACAGACGGCAAAACTTTTCTAAACAACTATATTTATACAGTAATATGTTTACACTTAGATTTTTTTCTTTGATTATTTTGTTAAAATATACAAATACATATATATATATTTTTTGACTTTAGTAATATTTGTATGCCTATTGCCACACGCTGTTTTTTGATACATTTATTTATTCATCTGTTATTTGTATCTTGTGTTTTCTCATTTTTATACTAAATGCACTTTGAGTACTTTGAATGCTAGCAAAATGTCAAATGAAATTGAGAACGTAAACGATTTGCGATTTGCGTTACAATTATGCATATAAACGAACGAATAAATTATTGTGTAAGTAAAACTTTTAACACTTTCAACTTCATTATGTTGATGGGCTGGGAGCGGCTGGGAGGGGTTGGGATATAAAACATTTGCAATTAACATGCATATTAGCCGCAGGATATATGAACAAATGCAAATTGTGATCCCTTTTTGTTTTTGGTTTCTGATTACTAGGAGACTTCAGTTAGTTTGCAGTATGGAGACGGGTTCCTGCATGATTTGCTGTATCTTTGCTTCCGGCACGGGCATCCCGTTAACGAGCAGTGTGTGAACGATGCCGTCGTGTTTGTTGCCGCTGGAGCGTGCCTGCAATACAAATGGTGTGTCCTGCAGCACGAAGCTGGTGTCGGTGCCGCCCTCCACAAAGACGGCCTGCAAAGCGTAAAGCGGGGGAGACGTGATTGATGGGCAGCCTCGTTTTTCGGCCTGCATCCGGTTCACTTACCGTCTCCTCGCGCAGCTCATCGTTCACATACAAACTCAGCGTGTCCAGCTTGAGCATAATGCGGTATTCCTGCGGCGCATCCGTTGACCCGGCCTGCTCGCTGCCGCCGCCGCCGCCGCTGCCGCTGCCACAGGTGCAGAGCCACAGGCGATACTGACGTGTCAGCTCCTCGGTGTACTGGGCATGCGGTTTGCCGTCTATGTACAGTGAATACTCGTACTTGAAGCCTGGCGCTGGATCGACCCGTATAATGCAGCGCGCCTGATCTATGTCAAACGTATCCTCGCCCACCAATTTAAACATCCAATCGCGACGCAGCACTTCCTGCAAAAGTCAAGCGGGCAGAGGTAGAGGATTAAACAGTGTGGAGAATCTGAAACCTTTGCAATTAAACTAATAGTAGGGCTTCGTGTGTGTAATTTGTTTGACTCAGATTTTCTATAGTTTTGCAAGTCAGCAAATTGCGAGAGGTTAAACAAAAAGAGAAAGGGAGACAGTTTTCCTGGGCAATGCTTGACTAAGAGATACCGTGCAGCAACTAAAGGGATGTCAAAACATATACTTAAGCTCCATATTATATATCTATACATACATATAAATATTTAGTTGAAATGTTTATTTATGTTTAATTATTAAATTAGTAATTAAAATATGTACGTTATATTTCTGTAGGGAAATAGTATAATTATATAATGACAGATGGATCCCATTCAGTTCAGAATCTATGGCGAAAAACTACAGCTCTCACTAGATAGCTGGAAAGCATTATTAACGAATATTTGTTGATTAACAAAATATATATTATATTATATTTTTAAAATGTTTTAGGAACTTTCAACCTACCCAAGAAATCTTTAAAGATTTATTAAATAAGATTTTTATCCAAAAATAACAG